TTATAACAAGTCACAAATATTAATTTGTCCAGATCAGGTCACATGCTTTATTATCCTATGTTGAAATACCGGTAACAAATAAATTGTAGGAAAGTAAAAGAAACAATTATTTGATGACGGAGAAACCCCAATGTGGGTAAAACTCCGTGCCCAAGCCAGTAGGAATCCACTATAAATGAAATTATAACTTACAACCCGTCAGATTCAATCCATCATGATTTTTCTGACCTCCTGATTGAATTTTTCTCAAAGCCCTCCTGGAGTACGTGATCCTATACCAACTCCCGACTCCTAGCCCTCTTGGATTTGCGTGCTACACCAATTCTCGGGTCTTGCTTTCCTCTATCTCCTGTGAATTCAAGAGAACTCCCCGTTCTCTCACGATCGAAACCCCGATCTCCTTCCTTGATCTTCAATAATCAACAAATACTCTGGAAGATTGTGTTGTAGTGTTTGATGAAGGTGGGTTTGATGTTTTTCAGTGATTGCGCTAGTTGAATATGGGATTGAATGAATGATTCAAGTTGTATAGAATCTTTTCGTTAATATTCAATCCTCAAAGCGTCTGAAATTTAGCGCAATATATTTCATAGGAAGTGTATTGGGTCATTTCGATCAGGTTAAAATCTCGAAAAAAGGAAAATAGGGTTTTCTAGGCAATACCGTCGCTCGAGTGAAAAGCGAGCAACGCTATTTCGCTCGAGCGAAGTAGGGGAGAGAGAGAAGGACTTTTTGCTTTTGACGCTCGAGCGACCACTTGGCGAGCAGCTAACGAAACTTCAATGACACATCTTGCCCTACTACACAGCTCAAAACCTAACAAATTTTTACAAATTTGCAACTTGGTCCTCCATCTTTTACACATGTACAATTTTACCCCTAACCTTTAAACATTGACAAATTAACCCCAAACTTTTAAACAATTGCATTTTGACCCTTTTGATCACAGAATTGCCAACACAAAATCTAACAAACTCCCCCTTTGACATTTTGTGACAAAACAGTATTACATTAACATGAACTACAATGACGACCCAAAACACTGACTCAACTGACTGTTGTCTTGTCTTCTTTCAACCTGTTTTCTGAAATCACAACTTACATACCCAATGTAAAAGCACGAGAAGCAGTAATAGTTAACATAATAAAGATAAACAGTCATGAATAGCATACCAATAAGCTAGATCAAGATATAATATCAATGTAAGTCAAAACACAAAAAATATACATTAATATTGCAAAACATCAAAGCTTAATCTAGCAAAAGTAGTGTATCAATCATTACAAATCCCAAAAAAAAAAAACTACAAACTGCTATTCCCCCCTTTTTGTCATAAATGACAAGGGGATCCCTAAGCAACTAAGCAGCACCATCATCTCCGTCGTCCCTGTCATTAGTCTCATAATCCCAGTGCTCGCGCATTCACCAAATACTTTGTTGGACATAAGCAAAAGCACCCCACAATGAAGCAAACTCCATAGTGTGGCGCTCGGATGTAGCTCGCAGCTGTGTAATCTCGGCCATCATACAGGCCTGCTGCTCAACTAAAATCGACATCTGACCTATAAGTGCCATAGATGGGTCAACAGAGGCAGTAGCCAGAGCGGGCTGAACAGGAAGTGGAATAGAAGTGGGCGAAGAAGGGATATCTCCAGTCGACGTAGGAATATCCGAATGAGACGAAGGAATAGCGGAGAAATCAGCTAGAAGGCCACCAATGGGATCAGGTGGCACCGTCGGGTTAAAATGTATAGCAAGCTCAATATGAACAGAAGCAGAAGAGTACCATGAGATTGACTCTGAGAGATCGTAGTATGGCATATGGGACGCAGAGCTCGTCGGGACACCCCATTAGGAAACGAAGCCCCAAGTGATGTTACCAAACGGTGGATCAAACAGGCATACGAGAGGCCAATCCTATGACCTGGGACCCTAAATGTGATCAGAATGTGCTGATAGATGAAGGTGGGAAGGTCAATGGAATCACCATGCAACAGCGCATAGAGAAATCGAGCCTTCTCCATAGGCAACAAGGAAGTTGGGACACCGACCATAGATTCGTACACACAATGCGCAACAAAATTTGACGGTCAGTAGGAAGGGATCTAGTGCAGATCGCCTGTGGACCACCACCCAAAGGACTGTTAAACAATGTGGACTAAATAAGAGAGTCGACAGGAAGAGTATCGACGGTCAAATACGGGTAAACAGGATGAATAACTCGAGGAATATGAATAGTGCTAGAGATAATATCTGGAGTGATCCTAATCGTTTGACCTCAAAGAAACACCCTAAAGGATGATGCGCCGACATCATGAATGTTAGCATAGAATTCTTGAACTAGGAGACTAGGTGGGGGGTTTAAATCGATCAACAAAGGTTCCCAACCCCGAGAGGTAAAAATGGCTACTAGGTTAGGTGGTAGGTCAGACAGAGTGACCTCACGCTCTACTAGGACTGGACGTAATGAGAATTGATTCCCAAAGACTTCCTGAGCAGTAAATTTAGACCGACTGTAGGATGTCGACCCACTAGTAGGCTGAGTAGCAGTCCTAGCTCTCTTAGGTGCCATATGTAATGAAAGATATAGAATATAGCATAAAGGGATAAAGAACACCTAAAAGGAACAAGATGTATGATCGAAAAGCTACAAAGCCCAAACATTAACCGTGACTCAAGACAAAGCAGGAAAGGTGCAAAAACATGCCAAGTGAAGCACACATGATGCAAATCGATGCAAACAAGGCACAAATAAGGCCGCACGACACAAACTGCAGGAGCCCGAAGGGATGATCTAAAAGAACGTAACACGACGAGAGGACGAAGGGAACAAACTGAAGGTCATGAAGCTAATGCGGAACTTAACACGTACATGTGCAGGGTAATGACTAAAGGATATAGAAATGCCGAAGACATCAACCGCAATAGATGGATGCAAAAAAAAAATGATAAATGGCGAAGGATAATGTAAACGAAGCAAAACATTGAGCACGTTGTAGGCAAGATTGAAATAAGTGAAACTATCCTTGAAATAAGGATATATCCTTGAAATAAGGATATATATCCTTATTTCAAGGATATATATATATATATATATCCAAAACCCTGACATAAGAAAAAAATGCAAATCCATGTCAATTCCAACGAAGTATGCAAATATACATAGCAATGAATCCTATAACCCACATATCGAGGACAGAATGTAAAAGTAAAATGTGCAACAAAATAAGAGAAAATACAAAAAAAAATTGAAAAAACTTAGGGTTTGAGATAAATTACTGAGAAATGGAAGGAAAATGTGATTACAGATGATTTATTGTGGTGCAAACCGCGAACTCCAACAAGAAATGGAAGAAAGTTCACCAAGATTGTTGTGGAAGAGAAGAATTCGAGAGGGAAAAGAAAGGAAAAGAAAAAATGGGGTTGAGTTCTGTCGCGAGAAGACAAAAGGACTCACTGCTGCTCGAGCGAGACTAGAGCGAGAAGCAAACGAAAGGTACACTGCTATTGTCGCTCGAGCGGAGGTGTAGCGAGACTCGAGTGAGAATGAAATGACAAAAATAGCACCCAAACGCGAAATAACAGAAAAGAAGAATTAGTTTGAGTAATTTTTAATTTAGCACCACTTTCGAAATTTTGAAAAATATCACCATTTAAAAACTTAATTTTTTTTTTTTGAAAAATCATAATGATTTGAAACAAATATGGCATGCACAATGATTTGAAACAATATACCACACACCGAGATCAAGTTTGGATGGAGTAATTTGTATATGTGACCCCACGTGAAACGTGCCACTAATTCCATGCAAGGAAGGCTCAAAACCTGAAATTTGTGAGAAGGAACAGCTAAATCACTGCACTATAAGTCTATACTTAGATGTTCGAAAGTCAAATCCAATGTCGTTAGGACCTATAATTCATTAAAACACGATGTAAAAATGCTCTTTCTCTCCCTGTCATCAAGGACCCGTAAAATTTTTAAAAAATATATATATATGAATCTTATGTGTAATCCTATCTCCATTAAGCTACTAAGAAGATCCCTGTAACGAGCGTTGGGTTGGTGACTCCCAAACCAGTTGGTTTTAGGATACCGGGTTACAAGAAACCCCTTAGATTTAATTGCTCGAGTCAACTAGGCTACGAAGATAGGTATAAGATGTAATGCAATAAATAAAATTCTTCAGGATCACTTGGGAGACACACCAGAAGTAAGGTCATCTAGTCTAAGATCAATTCAAACCCAAGGTCAACTCAACGATAGATGATAGCCATCCCAAGTCCCACACATGCGGTCAAGACTCACTTACATGGTCCTAGTGTGTGCTATGTAGATAAAATAAGAAATGACATATACTAAGTATTCTACACAGACTTAATATAAGTGATGGGAATTAGAAGTTAATCATGTATTAAATGCATATTTGATCCCAAATTGCAAGTCCAAGTGAACAACCACAATACAAACAAGACAAGTAAAGACCAGTCCCAAAAATTTTTTATTTTTTTATTTAAGAATTAAAATTGCAGAATAGAGATAGAGGTATATCACATGAAACATCCAATGCTAAGGTGCAAAAATGAACTACTGAAAGAAAACAAGACATGTATGCATTGAAGAAGATGATCAAGGAGTGACACAAATGCTGACAGCCTTTCGAAGTGACTCAAATCTCAGCCCATCGAAAGGTTTAGTGAATAGATCAGCAAGTTGGTTTTCTATAGAGATATGTTCTAGGGATACTACATTGGACTCAATTAGCTCTCGAATAAAATGATGATGAATGTCAATGTATTTGGTCCTAAAATGCTGAATAGGATTTTTAGAGATGTTTATAGCACTTGTGTTGTCACAAATGATGGTCATGGTCCCCTGATTTATTCCATAATCACTCAACATTTGCTTCATCCAAAGCAATTGAGTGCAACAACTACCAGCTGCAAAGTATTTTGCCTCAACTGTAGATAAAGAAACTGAGTTATGCTTCTTACTCATCTATGACACAAGATTGGAACCAACATAGAAGCATCCACCCGAGGTACTCTTCCTATCATCGGCATTTCCAGCCCAATCTGTGTCAGAATGGCTAACGAGATCAAGATTTGACTCTCTGGAATATATGATCCCATGATTTGCTGTCCTATTGATATACCTAATAGAACCTTTCACAGCACTTAAATGGGATTCCTTAGGATCTGCCTGAAATCGCGTACACTCTCCAACATTGAAGGCTATATTAGGTCTACTGGCTGTAAGATAGAGTAAACTACCAATCATACTCTTATACACTGTCTGATCAACACTTCTGCCTGTTGGATCATAACCTAACTTAGCACTCGTGCTTATAGGTATCTTTGTGTGTTTTTTACTGTTCAGTTCAAATCGCTTAACTAGGTCTTTGGCATACTTAGATTGACAAATAAACAGCTCATAGTTAGTTTGCTTCACTTGAAGGCCAAGCAAGTAACTTAATTCTCCAACCATGCTCATTTCAAATTCACGTTTCATACATTCGGTAAATTCATGAGCAAGAGAATCAATGAGAGAGCCAAACACAATATCATCGAAACATAGAATTATAAGTAATAAATCAACTTTGTTGGTATGCATTTTATTGATGATATTTGTTTATTGTTTATGATACAAATTTACTCAAAACAAGATCCTTCCAATTAATTCTTGTACTTCCTTTGACTTTATCGGGAACCGCATTTTAATAAGAGCTTAAATTTTGTTGGGGTTCAATTCGATATTTCAGTAATTGACCATGTATCCTAGAAATTTTTCAAATTTAACTCCGAAGGTGTTCCTTCATTTTTTTCTAACTGATCTGGAAATATTTTGTCTACTAGCTTTTGATAAGTAACTCCATCGTTCTTTAGTTCAAAAGGCATTACCTTATAAACGTATGCTCCCCATTCTTGTTGCAAAGGTGGTGTGTTCCTCTTTCGATCCATACATAGGGATCTGTTTATATCTTGAATATACATACCTGAAATTTAATAGTTCATGTCATGTGGTTGCATCCACCAACAAATCAATTTTAGGGAGTGGCAAGCTGTCTTTCGAATTGGACCTTATTGAAGTCCGTGAAATCTTGGTATGTTCTCTACTTTTCGTTACTTTTTGGTACTAAGACTGGATTAGATATCTAAACTGGGTATTGTGCTTCGTGGATAAATCCATTTTCTAGCAATTTGTGTACTTTGTTTTTTAATGCTTCAAACTTCTCAACACTCATTGGCCACCTCCTTCAAACTTTAGGTTTTATCTTGGGATCAATTTTCAATGCATGACATGCCACATTAGAATCTATTCCCAACATGTCAGCATGTTTCTAGCAAACACATCTAGGTTTTTTATCAAGAAATTTTTCAGCAAACCTTTTATAAGTTCCCTCAACTCTTTTTTAGTTTTTAGATCCTTTCTTGCATCTTTAGAATTAACAGACAAACATTTCAGTTCTTCGATCATATTAGCCTCAGACATATAGTTAGCTATGCAGGGATCGATTAAGTCATCGATTTTAAGTTTCTTTTAGAGATTACTCATTTTGACCACAACAACTATATTTTTCTTGGGGAGCTTTTATGGCTATTTCTCTTGTATTACTTTCATGATCTCAGAGCAAAATTCCTTAATTATATTTTAAGGATACTTTGCCTTTGTTCGTGTGCTCGTGTAAAATGATACATACGATTGATGAACAAAGATAATTATGTTTACATGTTTTATGCCCGGGCTCATCTCCTACTTTTACTAACAGAGTGCCTGGTTCGTGAAGGACTAGGTCGCTTATGGTGAAGCAGCGAGCTCTGACATAAAAAATAATAGGGATTATATTTATGCATTCAATCAAAAGCTTCTTCATATAACATATTCATTGTACTTCCATTGTCTAGGGGCATATGGTGAAAGCATTCTCCATCTATTATTGCCAGGATAACTATTACTTCCTCTAAATGACATGAATTTCACTTTTAGGTTCTATAGATTTAATTGAAGAAGTTAGAGATTGTTGATTACCTGTCTTCCAGAAAGTTTCTAAAACTGTACCTCATTCAGTAGGCCAGCCTTCCAAGATCCTTATTTTTGCACATAGAGCAGCATGATCCACTATTAATGAGTTGAGTTCTTCAGCCATTTTTTGTATGGTTTCAGCTACCAACTTTTTTCGTAGACTATGGCATTAAGCAGGGGATAGATTCTCTTGATGTCTTACTTCAGTATTCCTTCATCGCGGCTTTAAACTCATTCTCATATTAACTAGATTAAAGTTGACATTCTTAGTTCCAACCTCCGACAAACTTACCTACTCCAGATTCACCTACGCTTGAATGATTTTTGTAAATTTCGAAGGTTTCTCAATTTCAATAGATTGATTCGTGGTTTTCTTTGTTCAAATTTTCACAGATTGTGCCCATTGTTGGCGGTAAAAATTATGATCAACAAATCCCTCTCAAATAGTCATTTCTCCTCTTGCTTCAGTTTGAGCGTCAAATTTAGATAGTTTGGGGGACAGACTTTATGAGAGGAATTTGTTGATCATAATTTTTCCCACCAACAATTCTCATGCTACTGACATTGCGCAAATAATATAGCGGATGATGATAAATTAGTCCTATACAATTCAGTAGCCATTAGTTATTGTAACCATTTCTAAAAATGTCAGTGTCATGTTCAATAAATAGTAGAGCCTGATAGTACTGTAGTGATCTAAAATTGTAAGCATCTTGAAATCTGTCTACTCCTCCACATTTATATAAGTTGACTTTTTATATTTTCTTATCTCAATTATATAGTCATGTTTTTTATAGAAAATATTTTATTTTGTTTATTTAAAAATATACCCTTATTTAATTATAACTAATTTTTTTTCACTTAATCTTGAAATTGTACAAATATAAATAAGGGTAAACTAGAAAAGTTTTTGATAAAAAATTATTTTTCAATAACATTAAATAAATTTTTTTAATTTGTGTGAAAAACAAAATTAACTTATATAAATGGGATCGATGGAGTATTAAGTATTTTTTAGTTACTTTTTAATTTTTAGTTAAATTAAAAATTGAAAATAATTACTTTTTTATTGATAAATGATGAGTTAATGAAGCTAATTATTATTAATTATGAAAAATATTATTATAAAAATAACTAAATAAAAATTACAGCACTGCTCAAAATTAAATACTTTATGATAAATAAAACCAAACAAAGTTCTTCACTTGACCGTTTCTGCATGCAACTCATTTATGAGCTCATTCAATGCCTTCCAAGAGGACCCGCCTTCTGCAACTGCTTTTGCCGCGGCGCCTCCGATCTCCTTCACCTTCTTTCGCACCTTCTTCCCCATCTCTCCCTCCATCAACTCTTTCACCATTTTCTCCAAATGCTCCCAGCTCACAAAACCATTCCCAGAACCATCAAAAGTCTCAAGCCTCAGTCCAATTTCAATCTCCTCCACCACCATCTTTGCATTCAGTGGTTGATCCGCCATCATCGGCCATGCCAGAATTGGTACATGTGCACATATACTCTCCATTACCGAGTTCCATCCGCAGTGGCTTAAAAATCCTTGAATACTCGAGTGTTCAAGAATTTCCCTCTGATCAACCCATTCTTTCACCAGCAGTCCTCTGTCTCCCACCCGATGTTCAAACCCATCGTCATCTTCAGCTTGCTTATTCCGAACAACCCACAAAAAATTGACGCCAGATTTTTCCAACCCAATTTTGATCTGCTTGATTTGTTCTCTTGATATATCTGCTTGTGACCCGAATGCCACATACAGAACTGGTTTTCCTTCTTCTTTCTTTCCGTCAAGCCATTGAATCCACGTCCGTGTTTGGCCATTTTCCGCCTTGTTTTGTGGTGGCGGCGCCGACAGACAAAGCGGTCCAACACACCATGCTTTCGGACCGATTTCCCTATTCCAGTAATCAGCGTAAACTGATTCCAGCTCGTAGAAGCTGTTAACAATTATACCATAGCTTTTCCCCGTTGCTTGAATTTGCTCCGAGACATATTCAGAATGTTCTGTATTCTGGTACTCTGGATCTACAAACACAGCATCAAAATCATTTCTTGAAAATTTAATCCTAGGAACACTTGGAATCGTGAATAATTTTTTATTATCCGATCCCATATCTATAAAAAGCTGCCGAGATTGAGCTACAGCAAATGAAAGAGCCATGGAAAAATTGCTCATGCCGTAATAAACAAATCTTGGGATGCCAAATTTCTGGGCTGACTCCAGTGTCCAGCCCAGGAATCCATCTGTAATCATGAAACTAATGCGTGGGAGAGAATTTAAGGCCTTTTCAAAGTAGGGTTTCATGAGTTTTGCAGCAATGGCTAACCGAGACCATTGGGACATATCAGGGAGTTTATCTGTACTTTCCACGCCGGGAGGTATGCCGTCGATGTTTTGCGGGAATGGGAGGTCGATGATGGATACTGTGGTGTCGAAAAGAGCGGTAGAGATGAAGGGGCGGTTAGCCGGTGTAGTGAAGAGGGTGACGGCGGCGCCGTGGTGGAGGAGGAGGCGGGCGAGGTGGAGGACTGGGATTGTGTGTCCCTTTGACATGAAGGGAAATATAACTACATGGGGAGAAGCCATTTTTTTTTATTTCTCTTGAGGCTATGAATTATAATTGCAGGGGTATATATACTTGATTTAAAGACGAAGTTAATCCCTTATTTGGTGGGGGATTAAAATCATTTTTTAGTAGATTTTAATAAAAATTGTTGAAATGTGTTGTTGAAAATTATAAATCCCATAAAAATATGTGATTAAAATAGTTGTAAATTTTGACTTAGATTAATATGGGTGTTTTCAATTAAAATTTTAATGAATTTTAAAAGATTATGAACTCTAATGAATTTCGTGAATTTAACTAGATTCTTACAAATTTCATAAGAATCTCATCAAATATGGTGAAATTTCAAAAGATTTGGTAATATTTATTTTTAAGTTTGAAATCCATCCAAATCTTTTAAAACTCTTCTATTAATGAAAAGTTTAAAATCCACTGAATATTGATGATACATAAATATTAAAGAATTTCATTAAAATCTCGATTGAGGACACCTAAATTTTAATGGATTTCATTAAAATCCATTAAAATCTCAATTGAAGACAACTAAATTTGAAATGATTTTTAAAATCCATCACAATAGCAATTGAGGACACCTCATTAAAATCAGATTTTAATTTGTACCAAACACGAGATTAATTTATTCGAAGTGGATCATCCTCCATTTGAGAGGGGTGGACAGTGCATTATGTACAAGTAGCATATACCGTTTTTAAATCTGGTCAAATGTCCTATTTGTGTAGTTTCAAGCATTAATGTGATAATCATGCAACCTATCCTGTGTAAATTTCCTTATAAGTGCTTTTTTTGAAGATAGTTTCTACTTATAAATAATTTTGTAGTTGACTACATCATTAGTGATAAGACACTGGAGTCAAAAGATGATTG